GGGGGAGCTCCTTGCGGCGGCCACGCCCAGCGTCACGAGTACTCAGAGGCAGTCATTCACAAACTATTAGCATTCATATACAATTGCACCATGCATTGGCGCACTCGCATTCGTGCACGTAGACTCGCTCGCACGCAGATTCATTCACAGTCAGACGCATTCGCGCTCAGATTCGCCCGCGCTCAGTCTCCCTACGTACTCTGATCAATCGTTTTCGTTCGCGTTGTGTACCACGCCACTCATTTCGGCACACCCCTAGCACGGTTCGTTGCCTCATAGGGATCACCACCGAAAAAGGGAATCACAATTTTGGTACTCACACCTGCATATGGTTGGGTCCTTCGTCTGGCTAATTTTTCAGACGATTTTCGGGGTGACACGTGTCACCCGTTGTTTTTGTGAATGTGAGTGGCCTTATGTTGTCTCCCAGAATCAAAATTTTACATTTGATTTTTCTTAGACGGTTTTCGGGCTGACGCATGTCACCTGTTGTTGTTGTGAACTTGATTGGCCTTACGTTGGCTCCCGGGACAGCTTCTTAGCATTAGGAAGACTCCCAAGTACAAATGGTATTGGTACAAATCCCTTGTACAACTACCTGGTGAAACTCCCCAGTACAAACCCCCAGTACCAGAACAACTCCCTAGTACAACTCCTTAGCACAACTGCGTGGTACAACTCCCCAGTCCACTCCCGTAGTAGGAAGGAGTACTCGTACAATTCCCGAGTATTGCGAAGGCCTTACGGCCGGTGCCGCCGACCCTGTTCGCAATGCGCAGCAAGAGGCACGGGCTGTGGGATGGTTTTGGGGAACGGGGAGAAGGACGAGAAGGTGGGGGAGGGAGGTGTCGTATCTGACCCGGGACTTCCCCGGGACTCCCCTGGGACCCCCCCCGGGACCCCCCGCCCCCCCCGCGGGGTAGGGAAAGGGAAGGGGCTTCCCTGAAACGACGTTGCTCAAGTCGGCCCGGGGGGGGGCGTGTATCAGACCCGGGGGAGGGGTCCTGCTACCCCCCCCCCTCCCGGCGGGGGAGGGAAAGGGAAGGGGCTTCCCTTCGACTGAATTACGACGTTGCTCAAGGTCGGTACGGGGGGGGGGCGTCGTATCGGACCCAGGGGGGGGGTCGATACCCCCCCCCCCTCCCGGCGGGGAAGGGATCAAAGGGAAGGGGCTTCCCTTCGACTGAATTACGACGTTGCTCAAGGTCGGCTTGGCTCGAGCGGCTCGGGCGCGGCTCGGGCGGCTGGGGCGCAGGACAGAGACGACGAGTACAAAGAATAACGGAGATGACGGCTCGAACGGAAAAACCCCTCACACACGCCGACAGGGTCGGCGGATTTTTCCCCAGTACAACTCCCCAGTACAATTCCCTATTGCTCGTACAACTCCTTCATACGATTCCCTGGTTCAACTCTCTAGTACAACTCCCTTGTACTAGTACACCTCCTCAGTGCAACTCCCCAGTGCAACTCCCTAGCACTACTACAATTCCCAAGGACTTTTCCCGAGTACAATTCCCTAGTACAACTCCGCAGTATGAGTGCAATTCTCTATTACAATACCCTTGTGCAACTCTCGAGTACTGCTGGTCCTGCTGTTGCTGGCGTTAATCCGTAAGGGCTTCGCCCCATGCCGCCGGCCCCCTGTCTCGGATAATGGGAGATGCAAAAGCTAAATCATGAGGTCTGGGCGCCGCCGTGAAGCAGTCGGGACCTGTTTGTTTTTCGACCCCGACCCTGCGGATCTGCGTCACGGGTGCCACCAGATTTCAGAAATGTAGCAAATCCTTTGTGTTTTTGGACCCTGACCCTGCGGATCTGCATGAGGGGTGCCGCCGAATTTCAGAAATGTGGCAAACCCCCGGTGTTTTTGGACCCTGACCCTGCCGATTTGCATGAGGGGTGCCACCGAATGACAGAAATGTGGCAGATCCTTTGTGTTTTTGGACACTGACCCCGCCGATCTGCGTGAGGGGTGCCACCGAATGACAGAAATGTGGCAAATCCCATGTGTTTTCGGACCCTGACCCTGCCGATCTGCGTGAGGGGTGCCACCGAATGTCAGAAGTGTGGCAGACCTTTTGTGTTTTTAGACCCTGACCCCGCCGATCTGCTTGAGGGGTGCCACCGAATGATAGAGATGTGGCAAATCCCATGTGCTTTTGGATCCTGACTCCGAGGATCTGTGTAAGGGGTGCCACCGAATTTCAGGAATGTGGCACATCCTTTGTGTTTTTGGACCCTGACCCCGCCGATCTGCGTGAGGGGTGTCAATTTTTACCCACCCCAGCATTTCATAGCACACGCTCAGGGCGTGGTAAAATGCCCGTTTTGGGCCTCCCCCCCTCGCGGGATCCATCAACAAGGAACGGTAAGCAGCAAGAAGCAGAACTGTAACAGTGGAAATTGGAAGCTGCAACTGGCACAGGAAACTGCGAAGCTTCGGCCTACAGCCTGGTGGCCCCACAGGGAGGCCGGCGGATTTGCATTACTATTCTTACTACTATTACTACTATTACTACTACTACTACTACTACTACTACTACTACTACTACTACTACTACTACTACTGCTACTACTACTACTACTACTACTATTACGTATTACTACTATACTACTACTACTTACTACTACTACTACTACTATACTACTAACTACTACTCCTACTACTACTACTAGTTTTACTACTACTAGTCTTACTATAATTATACTACTACTACTACTACTAGACCTAATAGTACCACTACTAGTACCATACTATTACTACTACTACTACACTACTACTACTGCTACTATACTACTACTTATACTACTACGACTACTACTACTACTACTACTACTAAATACTACTACGACTTACTATACTACTTAATGTCTTATGATTGTACTTATACTTATACTTATACTACTACTCCTACGACTACTACTTCTACTACTACTACTACTACTACTACTACGACTACGACTACGACTACGACTACTACTACTACTACTACGACTACTATTACTACTACTACGACTACTACTACTTTTATTATTGCTACTACTACTACTACTACTGCTGCTGCTGCTGCTACTACTATTACTTCTTCCTCGTACTACTACTACTACTACCACTACGACTACGACTACGACTAGTACTACTACTACTACTACTACTACCACTACGATTACTATTACGACTTCTACGACGACTACTACTACTATAACTACTTCCACGACTACTACCACTTCTACTACTACGACTAATACTACTATTACTACTACCATTACTTCTTCCTACTACTACTACTACTACGACGGCTACTACTACTACTACTACTACTACTACTACCTTTTTGCTGCTACTACTACGACTACTACTACTACTTCTAGTCCACTACTAGTACCTCTACAGATAATTAGTATACTAATACTACTACTACTATCTACTGCTACTACTACTAATTGATACTACTTACTGCTGCTTACTACTACTTCTACTGCGACTACCCCCCCCCCCCCCCCCCCCCCCCCCCCCCCCCCTATTTTACACTATTGCTAATGACTACTATATACTACTACTACTACTTCATACTACTACTACTACTACTACTACTTACTACTACTATACTACGACTTACGACTAACGACATACGACGACGATACTAACTACTTACTACTACGTACTAACTTCTACTACTATTACTATGACTACTACTACGACTACTACTATACTACTACTACTACCACTGCCGCTACCAACCTACATACTTACGACTACTACTACGACTAGTACTACGCCTACTACTTCTACTGACTACTAACTACTACTGACTACTTCACTTACTTCATATACTAACTACTACTAATTACGCTATACTACAATACTACTACTAATACGACGTCTATTGCTACTACTACTACTACTTACTCCTACTTCTACTATTACTAATACTACTGAACAGAAGACGATTACGATATCTATACTACTACTACTACTTTTTACTACTTATTACTACTATACTACTACTTCTATTACTTACTGATGCTACTACTACTACTACTATTGACTACTAATCATATTACTATAACTAAGTCACGTCTACAACAACAACTAATACTACTTTTTAGTATTATACTTTTTAGTACTACTACTAATCTACTTGCTGCTGCTACTAATACTACTACTGCTTACTCTACTATTACTACGACTACTAACTTACTTAACTACGAACTACTAACTATTAAGCTACTAGCTACTAGCTACTAACTACTACTAACTACTACTAACTTTTAGTAACCACTACTACAACAACAACTACTACTATTACTACTACTACTACTACTACTACTACTACTACTACTACTACTACTACTACTACTACTACTACTTCTACTTCTACTACCTCTATTAGTATGCTTACTGCCCCTTCTACCCCACGTCGCCGGTTTTTGCGTTGCCTTAGCATAGGGCATCCCCAGTTCGTTGTCGTCGTCGTCGTTGTCGCCCCGATCCCCTACATCTTGCGAACATGGATCGGGGAATCTTCGTTGATTTACGAAGGGAACCATCCTGGGGGCCGCCGCCACCTCTGGGCAAGCCGTTCGCCTTCAACCAGCCTGTGACATTTCTTGAAACCACCCTTCGGCGTCCGCCGCCAGCTTTCGGAGAACCCGTTCCTGTTTCAACCAGTCGGTTTTTTTAATGAACCCACCCCCAACCAACGTGGCGTGGGGAAGGGTAAATTTGGGTAATCAATAAAAAGGCCCCTTCTGGGAAGCTAAGTTGGGGAAGGGTCTTAACATGTCTCCTAATGGGGTTGAGTTTACAATTCGACCCCTGTTTCAGAGCCCAGATTTGCCAGGAAGAAGAGTGGTACATCATCATGGTCCCCTTGTCCAAGATTGTTTTTTTCTGCAGTGACAGCTCCTCGCTATCATCAGTCATCTCAGGGGCGGGTTCTTGGACCAGACCGCTTCGCAATGTTACTGGAGGTCAAGTCTCTGTAGGCTTTGAAGGCTACTCCTGCTGTCCCCGCGCGGCGCCGTGTGCAGCGTGCAGCGATCTACGTACATGCAACCGCAAGAATAATTTGATCTCTCTCCGCCATGTTGGCTCAAGTGGAGCGCTTGAAGTTGGCAGTGTGCGGTTGGCGGCCAGCCAGTACCCCACCAGCAATGCTCAGCCTTCACGAGATTGAGGCGGCACTCGCCGAGCAGAGGAAGGGGAAGGTGGTAGCTCATGAGTCGTACGAGCTCAGCTCCGCCCCCACGCGATGCCCAACGGCGGAGCTTCTTTCCTTCGTTGACGACCTGGACGCCGACGCGCACAAGGAGAGCTGGGGTGCCACCGCGCTGCCGAGAGACGGTGACGAGCCGGAGCTCGAGACGGCGCTCCCAGAGGCAGTGCTCTCAGGGGGCCGGCGCCCCCGGAGGGGGTCTGCGGTGCCCGCGCCGAGGGAGGCCCCCGTCAGACGCCTCCGTTCTGCAGCGTACTGGGAGCAGAAGGCCGCTGCTGCTGCCCAGCGGCTGGCGTGCTCGCCCTGGGAGGTGGGCGCGAGGCAGCGCCGCCCGTGCCTCGACGAGGAGGGCCGCCTCGGGCCAGCGGAGGCCGTGGCGCTGGCAGCCGAAGGCGCCCGGGCAGCGGCGGCCACGACGCCAGCAGCGGGAGGCGCCGAGGGCGGCGGAGGCGCCGCTGGCAACCCCAGGAGCTGGGCGGGCGCCATCTCTAGAGAGCTGCTCCGCGCCGCGCGCGGGCATTTTGCGCCGCCGGCGCCGCCGGCCCCGCCGCTTGGGCCGCCCCCGGCCCAGCCACTGGGGACCGCTCTGAGGTTGTGTGGCCGGTCGTACCACCCAGCTGGGAGCCGTTAGGTGAGCGTGGAGGAACCGGAGCCCAATAATTGCCCATAAGATGTCGACGGCGTTGTTGACATTTGCAGCCCTCTCGGCGTTGCTCCAAGAGCTGGTGAACAGATTAGCTCTTGCCACGTCGACTTGCCCGCGTTTGGCCGCTTCCAGAACGAGTGGTGCTCGCATTAGACTTGTGCCTGTTGTGCACATCGGAGGAGCAAGAAGGCATGATCATGACACGTTCCAAGTTCTACAGGTTTCCCCATCTGTTTCGTTAGATACTCTCTATTGTGTAAGTCTTGGAACCTGCCCTCAGTCAATCCTATCATGACGCCTTGCTCGTCCTAATACATACTCATCAAGATCTACGATGATCTCGATGTCTGGCCAGCCTTCCCAGAATTGCGGCCTCGTTTGCCTGGTGACTGCGCTTTGCGGGTTGCTTACAGTTACAATTCGCAATTGTGCCTCCTCGTTGTGCCCGCCTGGTAGGTGGCGCACTGCAGCCAAGGTCGCGCGCGACGCTCCAGCAAACAAGCACGAGACATGTTTCGAACCAGATCTGCCGGCCTAGATAGGTTACTGCTGACACGGTGGATGCTCCCGGCTTCGTGCATGAGACGCAAGTCCTGGGGTGTTTTCCAGCGTGTTTGCCTGTTGATTGGTCTTTGCGAATTGTTTACAGTCCTCTATTTGCAGTTGAGCTTTACAGGGAAACGATGCGCGCCATCTGCTTTGATGCCTGTTTCGAGATTCCGCCAGCCGCCTCGTATTCGGAATGGGTCCACACCCATCAAGTGGGAATCATATCATCGTTGTTGCTGCTGCACGCCAGTCCAGAACATGCTGCGCCTGCGCCCGCAGCCAAACGGGAGTGGCGATGGGGACACGCAGCGTGTGGGGCCGAACTAGATCCGGCAACATCGGCACCGATGACTAGACCGACGACCGCGTGCAATTGCCGAGAGTTCGCGACATCAATCGACAATTCAGATTAGGGGGCATGCACGCTCATCTCCCCGTCGCCGCTTCCAGGTAGGCGGCGCACGACAGCCAAGGTCGCGCGCGACGCCCCAGCAAGCATGCACGAGACATGTTTCGAACCAGATGTGCCTGCCTACGTAGGGTAACGGTGGATGCTCCCGGCTTCGTGCATGAGACGCAAGGCCTGGGGTGTTTTCCGGGTTTGCTTGGTGATTGCTCTTTGCGAATTGTTTACAGTCCTCTATTTGCAGTTGAGCTTTCCAGGGAAACGATTTGCTTTGATGCCTGAGAGGATCGCGTTCTCGAGATCCCGCCAGTCGTTCCATACTGGAAATGGGGCCACTGGGAATGTCATTCTTGTAAGCGAGGATGCTTCCCGCTTCGCGCAGGAGACGCGAGACACGGGGTGGTTTCCCAGTTTGTTGGATGACTGCGCCAATGTGTTTTTTGTTACTCTTTTTATTCGTAGTTGAGCTTCCCGTGGATACGGTGCGCGCCATCTGTCAGCCGCCCCAGTATCGGAGACTTCTACCTTTCAGTTCATTATTCGGTTGAGGAGGAGGCTGGGGGGATGGGCGCATCTTTGGGGTGTTCGATCGCCTCATTCGTCACGCGCGACACGAACCGAAACCGAAACCGGCTTCCCAATCAGGGTCACACCCCATCCAATTTTTGTTGCGCACCAGGCCAGCCATTAAATTATCATGTTGCGCCCGCGTCCGCAGTCCTCATTTACCACGTGCAGACTTTGTTGCGGTCGTAGTCTTCCCTTTTGTGGTGGCATCTTCACGTCGCAGCGGATGTACGGATGCAATGCTAACTCATACAGTCTCGTCTGTCTGCGTTACCCATGTTATGTACAGCTCTAGCTCGCAGGTGGACTGCCTTGGCTAAAAACTGTCAAACACCCCTAAGAAGAAAAAGAAAAATGATCGCGCCACCGCGCACATCCTCTTGGCGCGTCTCAGAGGAAGGGGAGGATAAGAAGGAGGAGGAAGGGGAGGAGGAGGACGAGGGCCAGTGTAAGCAAAACACAGATCAACGATGTTGTAACAAACCCTCCCTCTACGGCGGCCACCGCCGCGCCGCGGTGTTTCAGGTCGCTCTGCCGCGGGAGGGTGGTCTGCGCGTCCTCTCGTTCGTGGTGTCCACGGCCGCGCCCTTGTTCTCCGGTCCTCCGCCATGGCAACAGGTTGCGTTACCGCGGGGAGGGGGGGGGGGTCTGCGCGTCCTCTCGTTTGCGACGTCCGCGCCCGCGCCCTTATTCTTCGGTCCTTTGCCATGGCGACAGATCGCGCGATCGCCCCCCCCTCCCCCCCAGGAGTGGGAGAGGGTGCGCTTTCTGGGTGCCATGCTATATTTGTGTGTACGCGGTGGGTGGCGCGGCCAGTCGAATACCTTTGGTGTCCTGTCTGGCACGCGACCCCCTTCGCGAGGTTGCGGGTCGGCCGCGGGTGACCGCGGTCGCGGCTTCAGCACCCTTGTGTCCTGTGGTCGTTGGAGGCCATGTTACCGTCGGAAGAGTCTCGTGTTTTGTCGCGCGTCCTATTGTATGCGCCCCGACTGTATGGACAAACGTTCAAGTGGCATTAGACGTGTTAGTGGTGAGGCCTTACTCGTAGGCAGTGCCTGGGGCAATCGGATGATTATGTGCAGCCTGCCAGTTATGGGCCAATGTCCTCTAGGACACCCCACTCGGCGGACTGTAGAGGATTCAGCGCAACGAGAAGGAATGGGCGAGAGGGATAGGAAGTCAGACGTAGGGGGAACGCACCCGGCTTGCCTCTCTCCACTCTCCTCTTTCCTCTCTCGTCTCTCTCTCTCTCTCTCCCTCTGTCTCTGTGTCTGTCTGTCTGTCCGTCCGTCTGTCTGTCGTCCCTCGGCTGCCCCGACCGCGTCTTGGACCCAAGTCGCCGCTGGCAAACAAGTCTGTCTGTCTGTCATTGTCTGTCGGTCTGTCTGCGTTTGTCTTTTTTTTGTTCTCTCTCTCTCTCTCTTTGTCGCTCCCTCTCTCCCTCTTTTTCACTCGTGACATTCTCTCTTGACAGATCTGGCTCCCCTCTCCTCGCCCCGATGCCCCGATCCTGTCCTCTCCCCCCGGACGCTCGCGCCGCCCACGCCGAGGTGAATCTCCGCGAGCGGTTCCTGGCGGGCGTGGGGCTGCCGCTCTTCCATCAGTGGTGCGCCCGCCGCCGCCGCTTCGATCGCGTGGCCCGCCCCCGCTAGGCACGAAGATTCGGCATGTGCGCGCACGGGCCTAGATCTCCGACAACAAGTGCAAGCGCTGTTTGGCAATCGTGTCGAAACCGTCGTCGTCGTCGTCGTCGTCCGTCGTCCGTCGTCCGTCGTCCGTCGTCCGTCGTCGTCGTCGTCGTCGTCTTCTGCATGCCTTCTTTCTCATTGCTCCCTCGCCTCGTAGCAACAGAGGAAAGGGGTGCAGGGCTTGCAGGGAGAGAGCGGCGTGTAGGCGCACGGGCCCAGATCTCCAACGATATGATCCGAAGAACAGAAAAACGGCGCAAGCATGATTTCTCGGAAGTCCGCGCGGGTTTTCTGGACCGTCGCTGGGCCCCCCTGGGCGGCGCCTCCAGCGCTGCCCCTGGCGCACTCCGCGCGCCAGGGAGAGGAGGGGTTCGGTGCCGATCCTAGAAGCCCGTGCGAACCTCAAAGAAATGATTTTCATGCCGTTTTTTGGTCCTTGAGTGTTCTTATTTCAATCCGTTGAAATTTTGGCTTTTGGGGGCTGTTTTTAGGGCCCCCGGGCCATTAACAGTGAACCTGGGACGAAGAGCTATCCCCGGGGAAGGGGTCGCGGAGCTCGTGGCCGCGGGCAGAAGAAATCGCACCGTCGGATGCAAGGAGAATGTGATTCCCCTTGCCTCCGTCGTATGGCTTGTCTGTCTTCTTCGCTCTGCTCCTCCTAATCATCATCACCATCAGCATCATCAGCATCATCATCGTCCACCAGCATCATCAGAATCATCATCATAATCAGCATCGTCATCATAATCATCATCATCATCGTCATCATCATCATCATGAACACGCTCATCAGCATCAACATCGTCACCATCATCATCATCATCACCATCATCACAATCATCACCATCCGAATCTGCATCCGCATCAGCATCAGCCGCAACAGCATCATAATCACCATTATCATCGTTATCGTCATCATCATGATCATCATAATCAGCGTCAACGTCAGCATCAGCATCATCATCACCATCATCACCGTCTGAATCCGCATCAGCATCAGCATCGTCAGCAGCATCATCATCATCAGTATCGTTGTCATCATCAGAATCATGTTCACGATCATCAGCATTTGCATCAGCATCACCAGCACCATCATCAGCATCATCTCCATCCGCATCCGCATTCTCATCATGATCATCGCCACCATCATGATCACCACCATTATCATTATAATAATCACCATCATCATCACCATCATCAGCATCATCAGCATCATCAGCATCAGCATCATCAGCGTCAGCACCATCGGCATCAGTGCCGTCATCATCATTATGATCACGATCATCAGCATTTGCATCAGCATCATCATCACCATCACCAGCATCGCCATCATCACCATCTGCATCCGCATCCGCATCGTCAGCATGAGCATCATAATCATCAGCATCATCATTATCTTCGTCATCATCATCATCATTATCACCACCATCATCATCATCACTGCGATCATCAGCATCAGCATCGCCACCACCATCGCCATCACCGTCCGCATCCGCATCCGCATCATCATCACCATCGTCAGCATCCGCGTCATCATCATCGTCGTCGTCATCAGCATCATGATCACGATCATCAGCATCAGCATTTGCATCAGCATCATCATCACAGCATTACCATCATCACCATCATCACCATCTGCATCCGCATCCGCATCATCATCATCATCAACACCATCATCAGTATCATCATTATCGCCGTCGTCATCATCATCGTCGTCGTCATCATCATGTGTAAGGTCATCAGCATCAGCATCAACATCATCATCACCATCATCATCATCATCCGCATCCGCAGCATCATCAGTTTTATCAGTATCGTCATCATCATCATCACCACCATCCACATTTGCATCAGCATCATCATCACCATTATTACCATTACCATTATCATAATCACCACCAGCATCATCATTATAATCGTCATTACAATCATCATCATCATCATCATCATCATCATCATCATCATCACGATCATCAGCATCAGCATCAGCATAAGCATCACCATCATCAGCGCCATCAGCATTCGCATGCGCATCGTCATCACCATCATCATTAGTATTATCATCATCAGCATTCCCGCCGTCGCCCCACCATGGTCACGATCATCAGTATCATCATCAGTTACGCCGTCATCATCATCACGATCATCAGCATCAGCAGAAGCATCATCATCATCATCATCACCATCATCATCGTCACCATTATTACCATCCGCAAATGCATCCGCATCATCATCAGCATCATCAGCATCATCATTATCGCAGGCATCACCATCAGCGTCAGCATGATCACGATTATCAGCATCAGCATCGTCATCACCATCATCAGGATCATCACCATCCTCATCCACATCCTCATCATCACCATCCGCATCCGCAGCAGTATCATCATCATCACCATCAGCATCATCATCATCATAACCAGCACCATCATAATAAGCATCATCATCATGATCACGATCATCAGCATCAGCATCAGCATCATTATTATCACCATCATCATCAGCATCCGCACCCGCAACATCATCATCATCAGCATCAGCATCATCATCATCTTCACCATCATCATTGTCCATTAGCATCATCACCATCATAGTCGCCACCATCACATCATTGTCGTCGTCATCATCATGATCACGATCATCAACATCATCATCATCATCATCACCATCACCATCACCATCATAACCATCATAACCATCATCACCATCATCACCATTCGCATCCGCATCCCGACCTTCATTATCATCCATATCATGATCATCACTGCCACCATCATCACCATCAGTATCAGCATCATCAGCATCAGCATCATCAGCATCATCATCATGACCGTCGTCACCACCATCATCAACATCACTACTGTCATCATCCTGACCATCATCATCATCAGCAGCAACAGCAGCATCATCACACTCGTCACCATCACCATCATCAACATCATTATCATCATCATCACCACCACCACCATCACCACAATCGACCGATGCCAGATCTCCCTTCTTCGAGGCCACCGCCCTCCGCGCCGCGCCGTGCACGGGCACCCGCGGGGCGCGTCGTCTCGCTCAGTCCCGCCTCGTCCTGTCCTGTTCTTCTGTGCCTGCTCAGCCGTTCTGGCCCAGGCAGCTTGGGCTTGCAGCAGCATGTCTTCAGAACGGCCCTTGCTGTACGGGATCTGTTTGCATCTTCTTCACGCTGAGGAATTTCAACCCTCCGCTTTCAAATTTTCGTTATCATCGGAGCGGCTGTCTCGACCACGCTCGCTTCGGGCTCATGGATTGCGTCGTCCATGGAGTCAATGAGTGTGCGAGGTCCGCGCTCCGCTACAAAGTCCACGACATGAAGGAGGACGACGACAATAAGCACGAGGATGCACCAAAACGGTTGCGGCACTGAAAGCAGAGCGATGACGAAATTCAGCGAGCTGGACAAGGCACTGGGCCCGATCAGGCGAGTGGTTTCTCGGCAGGCCCGCCTCGCCGCAGCGACGGGCGGGCCCAGCGTTTTGTTTATTCGAGGCTATCGTTTCCACGCCACGCGCTATGGGCATGGGCGGGTTCCCTGGCGGAGCGCGCACGACTTTGGAGTTCGTTCGTTCTTTTCGCTCGAAACTCCATTGACATCTTCGCGTGTTGTGCCTGTTGCCGCGGATCCTCGGTCATGGTGTCAATCATCTGCTGAACTCCTCCCCCACACGCTTTGGCACAGTTTGGTGGGTGCACGGTCGCCAGGCAAGTCTCCAGTCCGATCCGCCAAATGACAGTTGCGCACTCCACGGCCAATCAGAAGCGTGCTGTTGTGAGTTCTCTGATCGGATAAGTCTTCTCGATTTGCTTTGGCTAATTCACCAGAAAGAGGAGCAGTACGAGGCGGAGGAGGAACAGGAGGAGGAGGAGGTAGAGGAGGAGGTCCCTCCACAGGTACTATTTCCTCTTCCTCTATAGCTGCATGATGTGCGGCGGAACCGCGTGGGTCTTCTATTCGTCCGGCCTCAACGACGTGCCCCGCCCGCAGTCCGCCTTCCCTTCTCCCCTGCTGCTGCTGCTGCTCCTCCTCCTCCTCCTCCTCCTCCTCCTCCTCCTCCTCCTCCTCCTCCTCCTTCTCCTCCTCCTCCTCCTCCTCCTCCTCCTCCTCCCCCTCCTCCTCCTCCTCCTCCTGCTTTGGGTATGTGCGGCCAGGTGGTGGGGCCTCTTGGGTCGGCTGAGCACGCTTCTTGCTTCCGCCAGCGGAGCCGCCCTTGTGTTTTGTCCGCCGCCTTCAACCGAGGAAGAGATGCCAACCTTTCTGTCCCTCGAAGGAGGGGCCCTTTCTGGAATGCCTCGCGTACGTAGTGCTTGCAGCACGACGCGCACGCGCACGCGCGTACAGAGTGCATGCGGCTAACCACGGGATTGCGTGTGACCGTCGAGCTAATGTGTTATCATGCGCGCAGTGGGCACACTGGGAGGAGGCGGAGGAGGAGGTGTCGGACGGGGCTGGGACGAGGATAAATCCGTACCAGCGCGTTTTGTAATGCTCTCAGAATAGTTTGGAACTCTCTGAGAAGACCGAGGCGCCCTAGACAGACGGAAGCCTCAGCTATTCTCGATGTATCCTCACCCGATGGTATCCCCGTCTTGGCTTCATCTGAAGGAGGAGGAGGAGGAGGAAACGTGATGCGAATAGTGCCAACAGCAGCAGCGCCAGCGCAGCAGACAAAAGCAGCCACGCGCGGGAAACCGTGGAACACTCGAGGAGTGTTGGCCGCCCGTAGCTCGGGGGCGAGGCGACGGTGCGTCTCTTATCGTTTTGCCGATTGGCGCAGGCCGTCGCCCCCCCTCCCCCCCGCATAAACCAGATCGTTGTTGCTTCGGGGGGCTGCTTACGGCGACTGGTCAGGACCCCCCAGTCTGATCGCGCGACTGATAAAAAGTGAGTCGACTAAGCACCAGCCCAGACCCAGACCATCCCGTCACCTCCCCAATCCTTCGGGCAAATGTCGAAAACCAGAATATAAAACGCCCACCAGAAGGCGCTGCAAGCATGTGCACAGCGGGCGAAAACAATAGTCGTTCTAGGCGACCCCCAGGCCCATTTAGCCCCCACAGCGCTACTTTCAACACGCTGTGCGTGTTGGCTCTGTTTGAAAAAGGCAGCGTCCCGCCCGCCGCGCGCGCGCCCTCCCCAGGCGCACCCCCTCGACCGGTCAGCCCCCCCTTACTCATAAGGTCAATCTGACCTTAACGGACACTTGTACCACACTCATGGCGTGGAGGGCTACGTCCCCGATTTCGCTTTCCCCGATCCTAAACCTGAACAAGAGGTTTCAAGGATATTATGAAGAACATCCGATCAATATGGTTAAAGATGGACTGCGCGTAAAAGTGACCCTTCGCCAGAGTGACCTTTGGTGCGCGGCCGTGCGGCCATTGGGGCCCCTCGATCGTCGCGTGCGGTGCGACAGTAGCGCCGCGCTTGCTTGTGTTTGGCCCCCCCGCGGCCCTCAAAAAGCCGCGCACCAAAGGTCACCTTACCCAGGGTCATTCTCGCGTATACCCGAAAAGAGATGCCAATGTCATCGAAGGACTGGCAAAGTATTGGTTATCAGCCGGGACTTCCGTCTTCGACGAAAGTGGTTCTACTTGATGGAGGAACGATGTTCCTTCCAGGCAAGAGTGATGTACGTCCTGAAGAAGCATCACGCCATGAAGGAATGAGTGTGGGAGCTCCTGGGTATGATTCCGACGACGAGATCGAGGAGTCGAGACTGCGCCCTCGCAACAAGATGTCCTCGAATCTCTCGTGCACAGCAGAGCCTTGTCCAAGTTCGCCGAGGCCCAAGGACAAGGTCATCTGTCAGCATGAACACGAAGGAACAGAAGATGACGCCCGCCTACCGATCGACGACCGCATGGACGCTTCCGAGTAACCCTCGAGAGTGACGACCGCGGCGCGGATACCATATCATCCGAGAAGAATTACTCGCGCAGATCTACGCCTGCGCCGATTGGTGATCATGAGGGTGACGGGCCGCAAGTCGAGGGGCACGGGGTCTATGATCCCGCGTTCCCCGCCCGGCTGGGCGATCTTCCACGCCGTGGCGCGCAGATACCGCCCGTGCGTGGCGAAGATGCGGCAATCCCATCAGATGGTTTTCTGGAACGACACTTGGAGGACACCATGGGGGAAGAGTTCGCGGGCGACACTGTTCGATCGGCAAACAAACAGAGACGGGGACAAAACAGCCTCTTTGTCACCTCGCCCCTTAGGAAGCGAAGCGCATCCGGTGATATCCTGGAGCAGCTCCCAGCTTTCGTTCATGCCCCAGGGCCCCCCAGGAGGACTTCAATGTTTGAGTGCGCACTCCACCCGTTCTTCCCGAAAAACAAGCACTGAGAGGGGCAGGCCCAGGAAGGACTCCGAGGCCGCGATCAGAGGTATCGGACTTGTCTGACTTGGGCATGCGGATCAATGCCAAGTGTGCCAACGTCGGCTCCGGGTGCACTGACGCGCCTGCGTCGCGGTGCCCTTGCGTGTCCGGCCCCCCGAAACGCCACCCGAGAGTCCCAGGAGGTCTACAAACGTCCAAGAGGGCCCAGAATCCCCGAATTGTCGCTCCAACACGCCGAACGCCGAAGATGGCTCCAAGACGGCTTCCGGGTGCCCCCACGACGGCCCAAGAGTCCCCCAAGGGGACTCCCAAGAGCGCCTCCGAAAGCAACAGTGGCCCCATTCCCTTCGGAAAACGTACGCTTTTTCGATGTTCACATCTTCGGCGTCGACCGCGTCAAAAAAAGGCCCCAGGAACCCGCACCATCGCCCCAAGACGGCCAAAGTGAGTTCCAAGAGGCCTCCAAGACAGCTCCAGAGAAGCCTTCGATTATCCAAGAGGGCCCCAAGATGGTCCCAGAGGGCCCCGAGGGGCATCTGGGGTTCCCCCGAGACAGACCCAGACAGTCCCGAAACGCCACTCGAAAGTCCCAGGAGGTCTCCAAGCGTCCAAGAGGACCCAGAATCCCCGAACTGTCGCTCCAAGACGCCGAAGATGGCTCCAAGGCAGCCCCACGACGGCCCAAAAGTCCCCCAAGAGGACTCCCAAGAGCGCCTCCAAAAGCAACAGTGCCCCCATTCCCTTCGGAAAACGTATACTTTTACGATATTCACATCTTCGACGTCGACCGCGTCGACCACGTCTTAGACGGCCCCAGGAGCCCACAACATCGCCCCAAGACGACCAAAGATTGAAGGGTCTTGTTCGGCTCGGTTCGGTCAGTTCCCGAAGTGCGTCCGGTTCGGTTCGGTTCGGTTCGGTGTCGGAATTATCCGGTTCAGTTCGGTTCGTCGTTGTGAAGGGGTGCCGTCCGGTTCGGCCCGGTTCGCCATGCGTTTCGCTCTGGTTCCGCCCGTTTCGATACGAAGAAGGGGGGCTCGCCACGGAGCAGTCCCAGAGGCGATTCTTCAAGTCAAAGAGGCGTCTTGGCAAGTCCACCGCGCCATTTTGAAGTCCCAAGGGCAATTCTGCAAGTCCTGGAAGCCATTTTGCAAGTTGCAGACGCGTTTTTGCAAGTACCGGAATCGATTTGTCAGGTCCTGGGCGCGATTTTGCAAGTCCCAGATGCCATTTTTTTTGTAAATGCCGGACGCTTTTGCAAGTCCCGGAGGCCAGAGGCCTTTCTGCAAATCTTGGATGCCATTCTGCACCTCCCACAATCAATCTTGCAAGTCCCAGAAACCATTTTGCAAGTCCCGGATGCCCCGCGGGGGCCTGATTTTGCAAGTCCCCGGAAGCCTTTGTGAAAGTCCCCGGAGCCCCCTTGGGGTCTTGAGTTCGCAAGTCCTCCCCGAAAGCATTTTGCAAATCATTTGCGACAGGCCTCCAGTGATTCGCAAAATCAGGGCACCGGGGGGCCTCCAGGGACTTGCAGAATCGGGAACCCAGGGGGCCTCCAGGGACTTGCACAATCGTGGGCCCAGGGGGCTTCGGGGGATTTGCAGAATCGGAGCCCTGGGGGGCCTCGGGGCCGAACGCCCTCGAGACTCGCAACATCAGGGCCCTGGATAGCTCCAGTTCATGGCGCCATCCGGTTCGGCCCGGTTCGGTTCGAAATCGATTCCGGCTCGGTTCGGTTCGGTTAAAGATTGGGTCTCGTTCGGTTCCAGTTCGGTTCGGTTCGGTTCTTGATGATAAAAAGTGCGGTTCGCCTCAGTTCGGTTTGGCCCGGTTCGGTTCGGTTCGGCCAGTTCGGTTCGGTTCTTGAACCTTCCTGCTGGGAGGGTTTTTCCGTTGGACATCTGGACATGTTTTAGGGATAGCCTGAATTTTTTAATGTCGACACCACTCAAACATGCTTATACCATGTGCGCGTCGGCTCCGTAAGGGCGACGTACACACTCAGAAATCTGATGGTGTTAGCTCCGTGGCGGGCGCTTTCTGGCCATACCGTTCGGGAAACGATATACAATAAGATGTTTGTGCTATGGTGTCCTTCAGCGTTCCATCTTAAGATCCTATGCAGGTGGGGTGCACCACCCCCAGGCTGCAGCCCTCCCCATTCTGAGGGGGATTGGAGGCGCTGGGGGGGTGGAACCCCGCACAGGGGGTGGGTGGAACAGAACAGTCCCCTCACGCGAGCACCCCCGCGGCTGAGACTTCATTCCTTTTCTGGAATTGGAGACGGGGGCCACCACCGTGCTCGAACTCCTCGCCAGGGTTCTTGTCATCCGCGGAAACCTGACCCCTGGGTTCTTCGGCGCGCCCCAGAAGATTTGTCCTTTCGGATGGGACCCCATGGATCCTACGTTTGAGTCGGCCGGGTGATGCCCTGCGCGAGTTGTGACGACCTCAGCGATGCATTGCTAGCTGCCTTGGGGGCCCTCTGGTGCGCCACGCTCACAGAGCTCAATTTGGAGCCTTCTGGGGGTCTGAGGTGGCCGAGCACTGGTTTTGGCCAGCAGGGCTCGAGGCGCTGGGTTCGGACAGTTTTTTGTTTGTTTGTTGTTCCTTTTTCGGTCTCTGGGGGTCTTTTCCGGGCCCAGGGACCATCGAACACGAACTGGCCAGAATCTTGCGAAGCCAGCACGGTCGTGTGATGATCTGCGCGGCCGCTCCGATGACGGTAGCAAGGGGGGTACATGAGCCTCCACAGTCTAGGCCGGACAAGTAGAGAGCTCGGCTAGACAGTGGAGCACGTGGAAATCACAGGTGCATATTTTTTACCCGGTGCTACGAGCACTACTGCGGAAGCTGGCGTGGCTTCGAATTCGTTAGAATTCTGGTGGAATCTTGCGACAGTCTCCCACTGCTGAAATGATGTAGTGGAGTTGACCCGTGGTGATCGCGAGGCCCAGTACATAATCTCGTGAGCCCGCGTGTGGAATCTCAATCTCCATGATGCCGCCCAGCCAGTGCGAGATTCCGTTCACACCAGCCTGCGCCTTTTTGGAGGGTAGCCCAACATCACTGTACAAGCTCCTGGTGGTTTTCGGGTCATAACTCAGACCTCTGGCGGCCGTTCGGGACGATGCGGGGACCCCCGTAGCGCCCTCGGCAAAGCGCAGCTGCTCGGAGGCATCCCTGGGCTGGCCAACCGCCAGGAACCGCCAAAACCGCGGGTGACCTCTTGGCCGCCGCCCCGGACGCCTCCGCCAGCCTCAACCTCCAGGCTGTGCTCGTGGCGCCGTGTCCTCAATCCGAATGGAAAGATGTCTACGTCGCGTTGGGTACATACCGCTCGCGACAAATAGCACTGCGTCCACTAGTGAGCGGCAAGCCAACTTTCAGAATATACCTATACGACCACCCTTCGGGTGATAAGGAGGTTCGGGGGGGGGGAGGAACCAACGTCTCACTCGATCGGTCTCACTATCGATCTCACTATCGATCTCAGTATCGGTCTCGCTCGATCGATCTCCCTCGATCGATCTCACAATCGATCTCACTCGATCTATCTCACAATTGATTTGACTATCGATCTCACAATCGATCTCACAATCGATCTCACAATCGATATCACATTCGTTCTCACTATCGATTTCACTATCGATATCACAACCGCTCTCACAATCAACGTCATCATCATCATCATCAACAACAACATCAACATCAACATCATCATCATCACCAACATCATCATAATCGGGACACCGTCCTCATCATCAACACCAACATCATCATTATCATCATCATCATCATCATCACGGTCATCAACATCATCGGGACACCACCACCATCATCATCATCATCATCATCATCACCATCATCACAATCATCATCATCAACATCATCATCATCAGCAGCATCGGGACGCAGTCATCGTCATCATCATCATCATCAGCAGCATCATCATCATCGGGACACCATCATGATCACCATCGTTAGCATCATCATCATCATCACCATCGGAACACCATCATCATCATCATCTCATCCTCATCATCGACATCATCATCATCATCAGCATCATCAACATCATCATCAGCATCATCATCATCGTCGTCATCATCGGGGCACCATCATCAGCATTAACAACATCAGCATCAACATCATCATCATCATCACCATCGGGACGCCATCATCATCAACATCATCACAATCACCATCATGATAATCATCATCATCGGGACGCCATAATCATCATCATCCTCATCATCATCAACATCATCATCATCGGGACACAATCATAATCAGCATCATCAACATCAACATCACCATACTCATCACCATCGGGACACCATCATCGTCATCATCATGATCATCAACACAATCATCAAGATCATCATCATCCTCATCATCGGGACACCATCAGCATCATCATCATCATCATCGTCATCATCATTATCATCATCATCATCATCGACATCATCATCATCATCATCATCATCATCATCATCATCGGGACACCATCATCATCATTTCATCATCATCATCATCATCATCATCGTCCTCACCATCATCATCATCAGGAGCATCACCATCATCATCATCATCATCGACGTCATCATCATCATCATCATCAGCAGCAGCACCATCATCATCATCATCATCGACGTCAGCATCATCATCATCATCAGCAGCAGCAGCAGCAGCAGCAGCATCATCATCATCATCATCATCATCATCATCATCATCATCGCGGGACACCGCGGGACACCGGCGGGACACCGCGGGGCACCGCGGGACACCGCGGGACACCAGCGGGACACTGGCGGGACACCGCGGGCCACCGGCCGCCCGGAAGGGAGACATTTGGTCCGGCCGCGCCTCAGCCACACGGGACTTTCGCGGGACACCAGCGGGACACCGCGGGCCACCGGCCGCCCGGAAGGGAGACATTTGGTCCGGCCGCGCCTCAGCCACAGGAGACTTTCTCTCGCCCGCCCACGCAGCTTCGCCTCGCCCGCACGCACGGCACGCACGAACACGAATCCGAAATCGATTTCCCGGTAGGGGGGCTCTCCGTTCCACTTCGATCTCACCCCCTCACCTCCGACCATTTTGGGCGTTTCGATATGTGCAGTGTTTCGCCTTGCTTCTAGGTCCCCAGCCCCCCCGCGCCGACCCTGGGGGGTCCCGCTCTGGCGGATCTGCGCGCTTCGCTTCGCTTCGTGGCGCAGTGCCGAAGAAGGCCAGAGAAATGCTGGCCCAGCGGTGCTCCGTGCTGCCGCCGCAGTGGCCCGATAGACAATTCCAGGGCCAGGCCCGGTTCCTGAAAGTGCATTGACTTCTCGGGGGCCCCAAACTGCGCGGTGACCACACCACGTCGCAAGTCAGTAGGGATTCGGGCTGACCGCATGGATTGGGGACTTGGGTTGTTCTCCGAGGACGTCTCGGGCGACTTGGGCCCCCAGGGTCTTCTGGGAGTTCGAGGTCAACGCACAGTTTTGTCACCTCACCGTTTTGGGACCCCGAAACTTTGTCTTGTGGCGTGATGGCTGTAGCATTGCTATTGCCACTAGCTGTGAGTTATCTCCGAATAGATCGTAATGTCCTCGGATCTTCTTTTCACGGCCTGGGCCATGGAGCTCTGGACACCATCCTTAGGCTGGCTTTTTACCGCGGATTGTTTGTTTGTGTTCTGTGCCAGAGGCCGAAGCTCTCTCACAAAGGCACGCTCGTCATAATCTGTTTTGGAGCTCTCTGTTCCTCCGAGGGGGCAGTTTTTCCCCAGAGGGTACCAAAGAGCATACTGGTGTCAGACGAGCTCGCGCTCTAAGCCACCCACACCCAGGGCCTGACCCCCCTTCCCCCTTCTGTCCATGCCTCTTCCCCTCCCTGATGACCCCGCCTCCCCTGCCTTCCCCCTCCCCTGCTCCCATCCTCCCCCTTCCCTTTTCTTCTCCCCCACCCCTCCTCTCCCCCCGTCCCCTACATAGCTCCTCCCTCCTCCCCCTCCCCTCGTCCCTCCTCTCCCCCTTCCCATGCCTCCTCGCCTCGTCTCCTCTCCTCCCCTCCCCCCCCCTGCATCCTCCCTCGCCGACTCGGCGCGCGCTGTGCCGCGTCAGATGCTGCAATACACCGGCCTGGCCCACGTGGGGGAGCTTCTTTCGACCAGGCGCGCCTCCCAGGGCCGAGTCGGGGAAGGAGGAGGATGATGATGAGGAGGAGGAGGAAGAGACAGAGGAGGAAGAGGAGGAGGAGGAGGAGGAGGAGG